GTGGCCCCGCGTTATTCGTTTCTGGAAAGGGAAAAGTAGCCAAGAACGGCCTTGAAGAACCACTACCGCTACATCGGGCAATGCATGAAGGACTTGATTTCTGGGGTATTTTTCAGCACGCCGACTGGCCGGCGACAGCATTACAGCACCGACTCCAATCACGTGGTGGTACGATTGTTATGCAACATGGCCGCCACGTCAAAGAGAACATCGTCCTGGTCATGATCGACCTGAAGGGTGCATGCCACCAAGTTGCTACACATCTCGTATACGGCATAAGTACTCACATCATGGATATCGACGACATGATCCGCCACTTGGAAACAACGCGCGCCATGCAGCCCGCTTTTGTCCAGCTAATGAAAGACAGCGCGATCGTCAACAAGCGCGTGGACAACGACCACGTCGTTGCCATGCTCACCGAAGCCTGCCACAGCACGTGGTTCTATACTGAGAAGGACACCGGAATCGCTGCTCCAAGGCTGGCTAGGCTCTCGGCCAGGAGAGCCGCCAGCAGACTTCGCGTTCAACGCGCTCACGTCAGACGTCGCGAAGGACTACCACAACAGAGCGATATAACACAGCATTCCAGTACGTATTGCCGCATCTCCTTGCATGTTCCAGGAGAGCGGCGACGAGAAAGATATGGCGTCTACGTCTGTCGTGGATGACGTTAAAGCAGTTGCGATGATAAAGGACTGCAGCGAGATCAGCAGCGCGGTCGAAACGATGTGGGGGCATAACATGCGCGCGACTATGTCGCGAGGGCTGCCGATCAACGCGAACAAGTCCATTTTCAGGATCTACGCTACCGCGCCCGATGCGAAACGTACCCTTCGCGACGTGCTCCTTGCCGACAAGACATGCGCCGACCTGGGCATGGCCATATCGATAACGCAAAGTGCTTAATTACTCGGCGCCATGATAAACGGCCGCGACGACCTGACGCAAGAAGCGACGGCGCGGATCCTCGCACTTGAAAAGCAACAGCTCCTTTACGTAAAACAATATTCAAGCGCCAAGGTATCACGACGAAAGCCAAACTACACTACTTGGAGTCATGCGGATTTCCACGGTTTTCTAGTCAATGCAGGTACGTGGATTTCGGACAGAAAGACCGACATCGACAAAATCAACGCTGCATACACAGCCGCTATAAGAGAAGCGCAGGGAATCAGCCACCACAAGATGAAATATTAACGCATCACATGCAACGAGATCATCGGCGAAGCAGGACTCCCGCTACTCCCGCAACGGCTACGACGCGATCGGCTACGAGAAGTTTCACGTATGCTCCAACAAAGCCCCAGCGAACTACAAGCCATGTTGGATTACGACATTGGCAATGTGGGACAGTGGGGCACCGGGTTCATCAGCGACATGGCCGGGATTTGCAGCTACGTCGACCCCAAGCAAAATACCATTTCACCTGGCGATATCCTCAGCTGGATAAGATGGCCCGTGACGAACCTACAGCTTGCAAAAACATCGTCTCCCAAGCTTGCAGAATATCGATGCATCAGACAGCCCGAGAAGCGCAGCGAGTCAAATGGAGACAGGCACTCGATGCGATTTGCGTGGGTGCACGCGTCCATCCATTGATAAGGATACCTAAGGCCGACGCGAACAACCAATGCATGTGCTACCAGTGCGAGGCGATGCCCAACGGGAAGGCGGCATAGCAGAAACACATCAATGCGGTGCATCGGCCCACGAACAACTTCGCCAACAAAGCAGTTGGGACGGTGGGTGAAATTTGCCTGACCGAGTGCTGGACCTCCAACCTGCTGCTGAAACATATGAAGGCTGCGCCCAGGTGCGCTCGCTCGCTACTGCATGTCAGCGGCGAACCTGACGAAGAGGAGATCGAAGCAAACCGACGCGAGATCAGGCGAACACGAAGGACCAACAAGGCGAAATGACTACCCGAGGACTGCGCCCAGAAGCCGTGCGTGAAGCTACAAGGCCCGCCGCGCGGACCGCCGAGGACCGATCCCGACTGCAGCGCCGCAATGATACCGATTGCTGCGCCTGAGAAGGAGCCGCGGGGGCGCCGCGACAGCTAGCGCAGTGACAGTGCGCGGCGCCACCTACAGACAGACGAGAACCTTCCAAGACCCGACGCGACCGCCCACGCTTCCAGATGCAAAGGGATGTTCGTATTCAGCAACGACGCAATGCACTGCGACGACATGCATTCACAACTCGAGCACCGAATCCAAGAAGCCAGCGTCCCAACATGCATCATCTCGGTCACGACCGACAACACCGTTGACACCGAGGGCGAAACAACAATACCTGCGATGCTGCATAACCGTTGCTGGCTTCAAGCTATCAAGGACGGAGACGTCGGTGCAGTGGGGGGGGGGGGGGGGGGGGGGGGGCATTGCAACGGACACCACCGACCACGACAAGTCTGCGCGCGACGTGAACCAGCCATGGGGCAAGAAGAAGGCAGGCAAGATGACGAGGGAAATAACCCACCACGACAACAATCATATACGAAGTCGTCAGCATCGATTACGTTTGCGCTGCATATATCATTCTATTCGCCATGGACCACAG